AACTGAATTTGCATGGGGACTTGCCAATAGTAATAAGTCATTTTTGTGGGTAATCAGGCCTGATTTAGTTGCCGGTGATTCAGCAATGTTGCCACCAGAATTTGTGACAGAGACGGAAGATAGAAGCATGTTGATTAGCTGGTGCTCGCAAGAAGAAGTTCTGAAACACCCAGCAGTTGGAGGGTTCTTGACACACAGCGGGTGGAATTCAACTATAGAAAGTATAGTAGCTGGAGTGCCTGTGATTTGCTGGCCTTTCTTTGCTGAGCAACAAACAAATTGCAGGTACAGTTGTGTGGAATGGGGTATGGGAATGGAAATAGACAATAATGTGAAGCGAGACGAGGTGGAGGAGCTTGTGAAAGAACTTTTGGATGGTGAGAAAGGGAAGAAGATGAAGGAGAAAGCTATGGGGTGGAAAAAGAAAGCTGAAGAGGCAACTGCACCTGTTGGCTCATCCTTTATGAATTTTGAAGAACTGGTTAAGCTTCTACAGTGAGTCAATAATTTGTCAATTACTGTTAAGCAGATATTATTATCAATTTCCAAAGCATTTGAAATAATTCATGCGATCTTGTCTGAGTCTCTTGCAGCTTCTGCCAGGATGAAAGCATCAGATATGCCATTCTAATGGTAATGTGTTTGAAAAATTATGCTAACTGTACCTTTCATAGGTTACATCTTGGTTGACATTATATAAGAATTTAAAAAGTACTTGAAAGGAAAGTGTTTGTGTTCATTTTTTTCTTAAACTGTTCGATCACGCGGCACTATGTCAACTATGATATCAAAAAGAATGTACATATAACGTGATTGATTATGTTTTGAGTTCAAATTTGGAAATCATAATTCATTCTCTAAGGCACAATGCCATCTACATGCGATCATCAATCAATGTTTTAAGTCGAAATTAGTCTTCTGTTCATTAGTTCAAGGGTTACGCTAAGCTCCTCCTAAGTTGTATGTTGTTTAATTTATTATTGATGAAACGTGTCACGACCAATGGTCTAATTAAAAACCTTATATATTAGGCTTTTCAAAATGTCTCGGCTCTAGCCAATTATTGCCTTAGTTGTCAACATATAGATATGAATATATATTTCATTTTAAAAGTAATTTAATTGTCATATCTCTATCAAGTCAGTCTAAAAAATAACAAAATCTTATTTTGAAAAGGTCGTGCATCCCTTCCTTTACTACAACTTTGTCACCATATACATCAAAATATAGTAAAGAAAACAAAATGCAGCCCTTTCTCAGTGGAGCTATGTCATCATATAAATCGATTAAAATATATAGTAAAGGCAACAATTTTGTTTTCCAAACTACGTAACCCTATATTTTAGTAATATTAAAGTTGTGATCTTTGAAGTTATATTGTCCTTATATTATTTGTATAAATTAGAAATTGTCGTGTACTTCATCTTTAAAGACCTTCAAAAAATAAAATAAAATAAAAATTTAGATAAATGTAAATTTTCATTTTGGCAAAGACAACTATTTCAAACAATTTCTCCCTTTTCCAATATTGATATATGCATTACTAAATTGCTGTAGACTTCATTGACATCTTAGAACCTTATAAATAGAAACATTAATGCAACTGATGGGTTATGCAGGTATCTGAATTATCATTTGAATTTGATTCATTTGTTGCTTTGTTCTAACTACTATATGACTCGTCTAGAGATTGTTTTTGAGTGATTGACTCATTTAAATCTTATAAACTCGTACTTTTGGAGCAAAAATGAGAGAGTTATGATAATTAGGAGTCCATAGTTGACAATTAATATATAAAAGCTACATATATTCGTGTTTTAAAATTAATTTATCTTATTAAATGCCCAAATTAATAAAATATTAATTGACTTGATATTAATTAATTTTATTTTAAGAATAGATTTTATGAAAAGTGATATTTTTTAAGAATGTCTAGTAAAAAGTAGTGAAATAAATTTCATGTGCAACATTATTTAATTTAAAAATGAATTTACAAATAATAATAATTTTAAAGTATATGTACCAGAATTTGGCAAAGTACAAAAAAGTAATGCTATTTCGCCCCACTAGGTTAATCCATTCTGTGTGGCACTAATGTGACATTAAATTATAAGTACAATTAAATGAGTAATTTAATTTCACATTTTATTATTTAGTTTATTACCTAACATCATATATATTGGTAGTTATAATCCCAGTAAAAATAAATAGCATTACTAAATACAAAAAGTCAAATGGATGATTCTACCTGTATTTCTCCATAATTAATGATCTTATATATTCAAACCTCCAATCAAATTCTTTCTAGTTGTCTTCTCTGTAATTTTTCTATTTTCTATTTTCCTTGAGCGGCTCTATAATAACTAGTGTTTTAAAAAATGTAAAGTGTGCGTAGGCGTGGAGTCAAAACTTCAAGTCTTACTATCCTAAGCAAGCCTAGGCGAGGTATAGGAATAAAAAAGTGTTTTCTTATTTATAATATTATTTTAAATTTGTAATCATTTTAAAAATTATTTAATTATTAAAATAATATATATTAAACATCTAAAATTATAAAATACAATATTTACTTAATAACTCCTATCATTAGCTAATTATATAATTTTCAAGCTTTCGAAATGCAAAAATTAAAATATTTTTCATAGTTTTAATTTTCAACTGGACAAATCATACTTAATAGGAACTTCATACATGCTTTTGGAGTTTGTAATATAATGAGTCTCCAAATTATAATTACATAGTGTAGATAATACCAAAACTTAAATCTTATTTAACTATTTAGATAAAGTCATTTTTAACTTTTGTGTAAATAAAATCTTTTAAAAACTTGAAATTGAAGCCAAATGAAAAGTTCCTTTTTTAAAATAATAATAAGCTAAAGTCAAATAAAAGACTTTAAAAATAATAATAATAATAAAGCGCATCTACAAAAGAAGAAATAAATGAAGGAAAAAAATTCAGCCGTTTAGAAATTAAAAAAAAAAAAAAGTGTCCAGAGCGAAGCGAGGTGTTTTGCCCGAGTTTCAAGCCTAGACGAGCTTTTTAGAACACTGATAATAACTGATTCAATTAAGTATCTGGATTAGGAAAATGGTTCATAGGCTCTATATGAGCTTTTTGTATTTTATTTCCTTTGCTTGCATGGTACACTTCGTGAGTTGCTGATTGGGTTCGCAGATTGCATTTCAAGGCTCAACATAGGCGTAGGAAGTGTATTCAATTAAAACTTTTAATGACTTTTTGAGATTTAAAAAGTTTTGAGGTATTCAATTGAGACTTTTTAAGACCCTCTAGAAGTATTAATGTATTCAATTGAGATTTTTATAAATTTTTAAAAAGTTTCCCAAATCAAGATTTATTCAATTGAGACTTTTACAGATTTAAAAAATCTTTAAAAGTTATAATGTATTCAATTAAAACTTTTTAAAGTCTTATAAGTTTTTGGGTATTCAAATTTTAATGACTTCCAGAGACTTTTATATAAAAGTTTCTGGAATATTAATTTTTAAGTATAAAGTACTCATATAAAATTTTAAAATTCATCTCTCATTAATCACGATATTTTAGGAGATGTTCATAAAAAAGAATGTTTTTTTTTTCAATCTTTGTTTCATTTAACCTTTTACGGATATGTATGATTAATTTTTTTCTATTGATTATATTTATTTCCATTTATCTTTAAGCGCTCTCTCTCTCTTATTGTTTATCTCTATTTTTTATGGAAAAATTAAATTGGATTATTGTAACTTTTTTTTTTCTTTTTTCATTCATTTTTTGTGAAAAATATCTATTTTTTTATTAAATTATAAAATTTTATATGAAAAATTTATAATTAAATATAAATATATTGATTTTTATTTATTTTTAAAGTATACTATATTAATAATATTGAATGATATATATGTATACTTTTCATTATTATTTATTTAATTAAAGTCTTAAATTTTTATTCTTTTAATTTTATTTTTTTTATTATATGGATAGAAGAAGGGGAAGGAAAAGAGGAATTGTGGGAACCAACACTTCATATGTAAGAATTTCACACCACTGTACTAAATCCACGTGAATTATATTTCAAATGAAAGTTTTCAAAACTCTTTTGAATTTTACAAAAGTCGATAAAAATCTTAAAATGAAAGTCCATAAAAGTCTACGAAAGACCGCCACTAATTCCATATAAATATATAAGAAATCCACGAAATCATCATTTAAAAAAAGTCCGTCCAAAATCTTCAAAAACCTCAGTTGAATACATTCTCTTTAGTGGAAATGACCACAAATTGCATTTTTTTACATTTATTTTCTCTAGTTCCCTAGTAGTAGAATAATATATTTCTCCACTTTGTTCATTGTCGATACGCTACATCAAGATTTTCGTCTCTTTTTTCTTGAAATCGGAGAAAAGGGATAGAATTTACATAAATTTCATACGAACGGTAGTTAAGCTAAATGCATAATGTTATTGTATGGAATTAAATAAGTGATCAATCAACCTACACTGCCAAAAAAATTTCCCATCTTAGTTAATAGAATGTCACATGACAATTTATCATTCGCTAGTTTAAAAAAAAAAAAAACCACCAAATAGTTTTTCCACCAGTCATTCACTGTCACCAACGGACCTGTCATCCAAGATTGTAAATTCATCGGGTGAGAAAGCATTATTTGTTTTCAACAGACATATACATTAATAATTCGACAGGAGTTACTAGACAAGGCTAATTAATACATCAATCTAGTTACCATTTATTAAACATATTCATCCAAGATTGTAAATTCATCGGGTGAGAAAGCATTATTTGTTTTCAACAGACATATAAATTAATAATTCGACAGGAGTTACTAGACAAGGCTATTTAAGACATCAATCTAGTTACCATTTATTAAACATATAACAGTTAATCTCATTAAAGAAGCCGATTTCATCCGTTGTTTCCGGTATGTGTGATCCCTGAATATTTAATCAAGTCATGCGTCATTGGTTTCACAATATGTGTACAATGAGAGGTTTTGTTCACTACGAAATTTTGGTGGTCCTATGCTCAGTGCTCGTAGCAGGTTAGTTTTGGTGTAATTTTCAGTAAGACGATGTTACTATGTTTAAGGCATTCCATTATAAATCATTCGTTCAGCCAAAATCTGGCTCTTGTCTATCTCAGTTTCTCATCAATATTTCACATTTCATGCTTCCCTTCTCTTGTTTTAGGTTATGCAGCTTGTGAATCAGGATGCGGTTCGTCTTACGATTACTCAGCTAACATTGAAGTAAGAAAAATAATTTTCCTTTCTGATTGATTTGTTATTAACTAATTCAAAAGTCATTTTATATTTCCATGTTTTCTATTAATTGATATAAATATGTCTTAAAATTTGTTGTTTTTTCAGTGCTTGGCTGAACCTTTGCCTCCTCAGTATGGAGGTGGGATTGTAGAAAACCCTACATTTGACTCAGGTTTAAATGGATGGACTGCATTTGGAAAGGGGGAAATTGGAATTGAGAAATCTAAGGAAAACAAATTCATAGTAGCAACTAGCAGAAGCCTGCCAAATGATAGTTTCTCGCAAAACTTTCATATAAAGAAAGACCGTCCTTATACGTTTTCTGGTAAATAATTATGAACTACAAGGTTTTCCATAACATTGTAATGACTAAATGTACTGATCATTCTACACTATTTTACAGCCTGGGTACAAATTAGTGAAGGAAAGGAGACCGTGGCAGCATTCCTAAAAATCCCAGATCAAGAAAGTATTGTTATTGGTTCAGTGGTAGCTAAATCTGGCTGCTGGTCCATGCTTAAAGGAGGATTCACGATTGATCAAAAGATGACAGCCCAACTCTATTTTCTGGTATACTTGAATGATCCCTTACATATTGGGTAGTGTATGATCTTAAATTCTTTTTTTTTTTTTCTTTTTTTATAAATATTTTGTTATTCTATCTCCTGCAGAGCAACAATACCCGTGTTGAATTGTGGTTAGACAATGTTTCTTTGAAACCATTTACAAAAGAGCAGTGGAGTAAGCAACAAAAGAAAAGCATAGAAGAGGTATTAATTGTATATATGCCTTACTATTTACTGATTGATAATTACTCTGTATACAATGTTGTTATTTTATATCCCCCCGCTTGATAAGTTTCTTATTTTGGTGCAGGTTCGAAAGAGAAAAATAAGAATCCATGTTTATAGCCGTGAAGGAAAGAAGCTCCATGGTGTAAATATCACCATAAACCAAACAAGACCTCTATTTCTGCTTGGTTGTTCAACTGCAAAGCGTATCTTAGATATCAAGGCTTACCAAGAATGGTTCACTCCCCGGTTCACTGCAGCATCCTTTAATAATGAAATGAAATGGTACTACACGGAGGAGTTACAAAATCAGGAAAACTACACTGTCCTGGATGGCATGATTTCCTTATTAAAAAACCATAGGATTTCAATTCGTGGCCACAATATTCTTTGGGATAAACCAAACATGAATATGGATTGGGTACGAAACTTGACCCGTCAAGGGCTTCTTGCTGCGGCTGTCCGCCGAATGGGATCTTTAATGTCTAGATATTCTGGCGATATTTTTCAGTGGGATGTTGTGAATGAGAATTTACACTTCTCCTATTATGAAGATAGACTTGGGCCAAACGCTTCAGCAATGTTTTACAAGATTGCTCAAGCACTAGATCCCCAAGCTACTATGTTTCTCAATGAGTATTCTACTCTGGAAAAGCCGTTGGATATGGAGGCCATCCCATCCAAGTATGTAGAAAGGATCAGGCAGATCAGGTCGTTCCCGGGCAATGAAAACATGGTAATTGGAATTGGATTACAATCTCATTTCATATTAAGACCAAATATTTCCTACATAAGGTCTTCCTTAGACGTTCTTGGTGCAACCAAAATGCCCATATGGCTCACGGAATTTGATGTTATAAGAGGCCCTCAACAGGTAATTTGTTATGATCTCTAGCTATAAATTGCAATAATCCAATCCTTCTTCTTTAATGTGACATCAAATGTTTCATGCATATTTTCCGGTTTCTAAATTCTGTGAAAATCCTATTTTAGCTCTTGAAGTTTCATTTTGATCATAGTCCATCAAACTCTTGTTGAAATACCGTATCCCAAGTTGTTTATATATTTCACCATAAAAAGGAGTACATACTGATGCTACCAAAAATCGAACATGTTGACTTAAGAACTTGATGATTGAGATGGATCACGAGCAAGATCATCCGATAGCTGAAACAAAGGTGTCGATAAGCATCCTCGTCGGCCCTCTAATGCCTAAGTTAGAGAGAGAATGTATACGTGAGGCTATGAACTGAAAATAATGTAAAAACATACCTCAATAATAAGCTTTGGTCATATATTTATTGATGTTGGTGATACAGTTCTAAAATGACCCAACTATTTGTAATCCTTGTCTTT